CGAAGGTCCAGGCAAAGTTTATAAGTAATGATTCCCAACAAATGCGCCGGAGCTATGGTAACCCTTATCTACGAGCCGTCCATTGATAGATTGAGAGCAGGGAACCCACCGAACCTACGGAACAATTGAAGGAACTAAATCAATCGGTTGACGTTTTTACTGTTGCTCGTTCACGGAATCGTGAAATTATATTATTGATGGGGAAACAAGAATTTAACAGAAATACGCATACACTACTTTAGAGTCTACCTCATTGTGTCGATGCGGGCTCGTTTCGTTTTCGATCTGTACCAAATCTGTACAGAGTTTTATCATGTGCATTGTTCCAAAGAAAATTGACTTACAAGAAATCTACGCGCACCAGGCAGTAGACGGGACTCGAACCCGCACACTACGCTATTCGGGCGAATGCACTGGTTTTTTTTCTAGTAAAATAAAATATTTAGATTTAAACATCTAGCAGTTAAATGCTTAAAGCAATAAAAATATAAGTTCATTGTTATTAAATGAGAGCTTCCACACTGAGTAATTTTTGTACAGATTCTTTACCGAGCGCATACACAGCTCTCCGTACCAAGTGCTACTACTAAGGGCTGCCAGTAAGTATTACCGAACCATTCGACTAGCCCGTCCCGTCATGCCCGCAAACAAAACGAAACGATACCACATCGAAACCGAGCCGGTTCATAAGTTGTTTTCGTTGAAGAATCTGTACAAACTCGGTATAGAAACGAAAACGAAACGATCATGCAACGACCCGGTAAGGCAGGCGCCTTCCTGATCTGTAACCCTTTTTCCGATCCCTTTCATTGTTATAAGATGCAAGACATCAGACTTTTTTATCTAATAAATTTCAGTTTGGACAGAGTTAACTTTTGGTGGATACAGTTTGATATTGGTAGTAGTGCTTTGATAATGAGATTTGGTATAGATCATATGATCAGTAAACTCCATGACTTTATGCTGTTTAAGGATGATACAAATTCTTGTTCAAAATAAATGAAGAATTTATATTTACTGGTGACCCAAATAAATGTTCTTATAGTATATTGAAAAGCGTTAAGATTTCAATTCAAAAGTGCCCTCCTGTTTTACGATTTTTTCGGCGAATTCTACTTCTAGTACATTTTCGAAACAAAAAACAAATGTCGTCGTGAATTATGAAAACTTACAAGAAAAAAAAATGTTAATTTGGAACGGGCTTTCGAAAGTTATACGTTTACATTCATTTCGGCGATTCATTTTTCTTTCATAGATCATAAATACTAGAACACTTCAAGATTGAATCGTATGTGTTAGATATTTGTAATATCTATGGTTACATCAAATAATCTGTAGTCTATGGTTTCTTTGTATAATGAGTAGACATTTTTGAATAAAATCTTCCGTTGTCAGCTTTCACAGAAATACGTCGTTTTATTAGGTTATGGGCACAGTTATGCTCATTAGGGATTGAATTTAGTTAATATTTAGGCAATTTAGCTAGTATAGTTGAAGCATAGTGTTTTTTAATATTGAATTGTGTGTAAAACTGCAAAATTAAAAGTGTTGCAACAATGGCTTCCAACGCATTCTTGACCAACGTGCCAAAGCTAAAAGGGCGCGAGAATTATCACGAATGGGCGTTTGCAGCAGAGAATCTGTTAGTCTTAGAAGGCACAGCTAATTATATCAAGCAGAAGTGTGCTACAGATGCAGCCTCAGAAGATGCAAAGACAAAAGTCAAATTGATTTTAACGATCGACCCGTCATTGTATGTGCATATTAAAGATGCGTCAAATACGAAGAACCTGTGGCAGAAATTACAAATTATGTTCGATGATTCTGGATTTTCTCGAAGAATAACCTTATAGCGAAATTTAATATCAATTCGTCTCGAAAACTGCGAGTCAATGACAGATTATGTGACGCAAATCATAGAAACGGCACAAAAATTATCGGGAACGGGTTTCTTAGTGAATGACGAATGGATCGGGTGCTTAATGTTAGCGGGATTGCCTGAAAAATACTTTCCAATGTTAATGGCGATTGAACATTCCGGAATCGCCATTAGAGGTGACGTAGTGAAGACGAAATTGATTGACCTTGCAGCTAATGACAATTCGAAGAAAAACATAAAATGTTATCGTTTCAAACAGCTCGGGCATTACAAGTCTCAGTGTAAACAAAATGATCAACAGCAAGTGAAGAAAACGAATGCTTTTTCAGCTGTTTTCTTGAGCGGGAATTATAGTAAACAAGACTTTTATTTGGATAGTGGCGCAATTGTTCACATGACGACAGATGTAAACATTATGCAGAATACATCATATTCACCGAATGTCAAGGAGATAATGGCAGCAAATCAAAATGCTATGCCAGTTTTGTGTTCGGGTGATGTGAATATCATAACAATTACTCCAAGTTGCAAATATGAGGTAACCTTAAAAGATGTCTTGTGTGTTCCTAATCTTACAACAAACTTGATTTCTATTAGTCAACTTATCAAGAATGGAAACAATGTCGAGTTTAAGGAGAAGTGCTGTTATGTTTACAATAAAGAAAACAGTTTGGTGGCCGTGGCAAACCAAGAAAATGGTATTTATAAGTTGGCCATAGAACATAAACAATACTTCTTCTTCAACAGTTAGTAGTGAGGTATGGCATAGAAGATTGGGCCATTTGAATATGAACGACCAGAATAAAATGAAAGATGGAGCAGTTACGGGAATATCATATACAGTACATGTGGTGTGTGTTGCAAAGGAAAACAGTCACGTTTGCCATTTGGCCACACAGGTACTAGGAGTCGTGAGTCCCTGGATCCCTGTAATACATGCTGATGTCTGTGGGCTTATGGAGTGTACTTCAATTGGAGGATCCAGGTACTTTCTTATTTTTGTTGACGACTTTACCCGTATGGCCTTCATTTATTTTCTTAAAGCAAAAAGTAAAGTTTTTAAGTACTTTAAGGAGTTTAAGAGTCTAGTAGAAAATCAACAAGACAGAAAAATTAAAATATTTAGGACAGATAATGGCATAGAGTTTTGTAGCAATGAGTTTGAAAAGTATTTGAAACAAGTAGACATAGTTCACCAAAAAACTAATGTTTATACTCCACAGCAGAATGGTTTGAGTGAACGTATGAACCGAACCATTGTAGAAAGAGCTCGCTGTTTATTATTTGATGCCGGATTAGATAAGAGGTTTTGGGCAGAGGCAACAAATACTGCAGTATATCTCAGAAATACAGTTGCATCAGGATTAAATGATAAAACTCCATATGAGCTCTGGACAAATAAAAAACCAGATTTAAGTGATGTCCGCATTTTTGCCAGTTAAGTGATGGTCCACGTGCCAAAAGAGAAACGGCGAAAGTGGGACACAAAGTCGAATAAACACATTTTAGTTGGTTTTTCTGAAACTACAAAAGGCTACCGTCTTTACGACCCAATCAAAAAGTGTATTGTAACTAGTCGAGATGTAATTATACATGAAAATGTAGAAAAAAACTGCACAGATGAAGCAGTAGTGTCAGTTTCAGTTGGGGATATTGTTGAATCAGAAAAGTCAGAAAGTCATGATGAAGAAGTAAAGGATGAACCCATTCCAAGTCCCTTAAGTGCAAGCATGTCTTCAGAATCAGACTATTTTAATGCAATGAATGATCCTGATTCTACATTACAGCAACCTGAAGAAGATGATGAGCCAGAACCGTCACCACCAATAAATTCAAAAAGAATAAGGAAGCAGTTAGAGCGTTATGGATTTACAAATCTATGTACAACGTCATATCCAAATGTCATCAATGATCCGGTCTGTATCCGTGAAGCTCTGGGGAGCCCAGATCGAGACAAATGGACAGAGGCAATGAAGGAAGAGCTGCAGGCTTTTGAAGAGAATGATGCGTGGGTTCCTGTGAGTAAATTACCTTCTGATAAAACTTTAGTACAGTGCAAGTTGGGTATTTAAAAGAAAAGTGAATTGTGATAACAGTGTACGTTATAGAGCACGATTGGTGGCTAAAGGTTTCACACAGAGGCCTGGTGTTGATTATGAAGAGACTTTCTCACCGGTTGTTAGACATTCTACATTAAAGTTATTGTTTGCTTTGTCTGTTCAGTTAAATTTAGATATCACACACTTAGATGTTAAAACAGCTTTCTTAAATGGTTTTCTGAAAGAGGACATTTATATGGTTAAACCAGATGTTAATTGTGATACAAATAAGAATAAGGCAATTGTTAAATTAAATAAAGCGATTTATGGTTTGAAACAATCATCTAGATCATGGTATGAGAGAGTAGAGCAATGTTTGTGTGAGCTAGGTTTCATAAAGAGTCGTATAGAGCCTTGTGTTTATACAAAAATGAAAAATGATGTTAAAATTATTATAGCCTTATACGTTGATGATTTTTATATTTCGTGTAAATGTTCAGGAAAAATAAAAAACCATTTTTACTTAAGAACTCCATTAAACTACAAGTATAAGAGACTTTTTATATCGCATATGGAAGCTAATTTTTTCAGCTATCTGGTTATTTCAACAAAATTTAAGTAGTCCCAAGGGCTTCGTTATAATTTAGCTGGATTCATTTTACTATATTAGTGTAGGTCAATCTCTGGTCAGTAATGACACTTACGATATTGTTCGTGTAAATTTATATTTTCGACGGCCGCAGTAAAACTGTGTTGCGCTATTATTCGTGTAATTTGTTTTGTTTACTGAACATTTGTAAAAAGCAATTATTAGGTTATTCGATTGTTTAACAGTAACGTACATTTTATTGTTATGACTATTATTGTTTATTCAAATAGTTTAGTTAAGTATTATTTGAGGATTATTATAGTATATTTTATGAAATAAAGGACATTCTAGTAAATGAAACAACTTTGGTTAATTCGACAAAACACGATAGTTATTTTTATCATAAAAAATAGACACTGCACTGAAGACACACATTTACACATGATTACACAATCATGAAAATTATAATAAGGTCCTATTACAGTTAAAAATCTTAATCAGAAACCTCATCGTGACCTGATTCAATATCACAAAAGCTTAAGTTTCTATAAAATGGTTGATAATGGTGGGGAATTGCTTGGGAGTTACACAGGCATAGGAGATCATTATTCAAAGCTTTTTTAATAGGGAGGGGCTTATCGTATACTGGCTTTAATTCAATACTTTCAATTGTTTTGGACACCTCTTTGTGCCGACGCTGTCTACTTCTGCCTGCATCGTAATCCAATTCAATATAATCCTGATCAAAATCATATTTGAAAAGAAAACAGTTAGGTTTACTGTATGACACACTAACCTCCATCACATCGGACCATCGTAATTTTTCTCCTGTCTTATCTTGAAGCCATCTTTTGGGTTCAACAAGTTCTTTTATGTTGAAGATTTCAGATTGTTGCATTTTTTTAGGATATATTGGTCTCCGGAGACTTTAGCGTTCACGATAATACTATTACTTGGTCCAGTGTGTACAAACCTTTCGTTTTTCAGAGCTCTTTCAATACATGCGTGCAAGGAGTCACCTTCAGTTTGGCTATGCCCACCAATAAAAAACCGATGGGTAATGCCAATTTGAAGAGTCATTGCAATGTAAAGATACAATGCAAATATGTATCTGTTTTTATTCTGGCCATAACAACCATCAGAGTAAAATAAAAATTTGCGTAGAAACCTTTTTCGTGTACAGTCTTGACAAATTGAAACAAGCAACTCCCTATTTCGATACGCCCTTTTTTCCGATTTGAGCTTACGAAGTTTGTTAAGAGCGTCAAAAACTGTAAAATTATTAATCGGGTTTTTACGTTTGTAGTGGGAAATTGACACTTCAGACTGTGGTACATTAAAAACTTTTTCTAAATCAAAAATGACCACAACGGTGTCATCTTTATTAAGTGTTTCTTTTTCTTCATTTTTAATTTCACGAACTCTTTCTTTCATACTCAAATGTTTCCTGTGATTTTCTTCTAAATAGCCTTTTCAATGGAGTCAGCTTGCTGATATTGTGAACATACACTGATCCTTTTTAGGCTTAAAAAAGGAATAGTTGTAGTTACTATTAAACACTCTTTCATACTGTTGTTTTGAAGCCATCTTATGATTTAGAAAAAGTTTTGAATGTACCACAGTCTGAAGTGTAAATTTTCCACTTCAAAAGTAAATACCCGGTTTTTGACGCTTTAAACAAAATAGGGTTCTGTTACGTTTGGCAAGCTTAAATTGGAAAAAAGGGCGCATAGAAATAGGAAGTTGCTGAAATCTGTTTACCCGAATAATATCGTAAATAATGTTTACTGTCAAATCATATTGATATTTTTTTTCGTAAAAATCTAAATGTATATTATTCGTTTAAAATACATTTTAAATATTTTTATGGAATATACGCGTAATTTTTCATATCTTCGTAAATAAAGATAGAAAAATTGTGAAAAAAAATTACATGGTGTATTTTAACTTCTAGATGCCGAAAAACGCATAACATGAAAAACCCCGTAATAATCCGGTAATGACATATTCATTACCAGATTATTCGCGGGGGACGTCGATTTACTCTAATAATCAAATAGAGGCTGATAAGTTAATTTCTGTATTATGTTCTAAGTTTAAGATTAAGAATTTGGGTCAGGTTCAACAATGTTTAGGTATGAGAGTCAAAATTGATAAAGAAGCAAATGTTATTACTTTGGATCAGGAACAGTATATAGACCAATTATTGGAGAAATTTAATATGTTAAATTGTAAAATTGCTAGTACTCCAATGGAATGCAAATTAGATATTAATAAGTTAGAATATTGTGATCAAGAAATTCCATATCAACAATTGATTGGAAGTTTAATGTTTTTGTCTGTTCTTACAAGACCTGATATATCTTATAGTGTCAGTTTCCTTAGTCAATTTAATAAATGTCATACTAATATTCATTGGAATTATGCAAAGAGAATACTTAGGTATCTTAAGAGTACTAAGAGTATTTGTTTAAAGTATGTAAAGGAAACAGCTGGACTTGTTGGCTATGTTGGGCAAGTAATACATTAGATAGAAGGTCATACACTGGCTATTGTTTTGTAATGTCAGAGTCTGCTATTTCCTGGGAGAGTAGGAAGCAAAGAACAGTGGCATTGTCAAGCATGGAGTCTGAATATATGGCTATAGCCGAGGCATGCAAGGAAGCTATATATTTGAGATCATTGTTATATGAACTTACGAATAATATTTGTACTGTTTCAATGTACAATGACAGTCAAAGTGCACAGAAGTTGGTGGCAAATTATGTGTGCAATAGAAAAAGTAAACACAGTGATATTAGATATCATTTCATAAAAGATGCAGTTAACAATAAAATAATTAATTTAGAATATTTGCCAACAACTGATATGCCAGCTGATGTTCTTACTAAAGCTTTAAATCCTGCCAAGCATAATAAATGTATTAAGGGTCTGGGGCTAGTTAAGGGGAGACAGAAAGTTACTATATAAGTAAAATAATGTTGTTCTTTTATAAAGTTAAGTTTATTTGCTGTTGTTGGGGTGTTATATATTTGTAATATCTATGGTTACATCAAATAATCTGTAGTCTATGGTTTCTTTGTATAATGAGTAGACATTTTTGAATAAAATCTTCCGTTGTCAGCTTTCACAGAAATACGTCGTTTTATTATTATGAAACCTAATGAAATCCTGTTTGTTGATTTATAAGTAGGTATGTTATAATACAAATTAAACTGAGTAGATCTTTCCGAAACAAGAGTGCAACTTAATTATTCATTAGGCTGAAAATTAATTTGCTTCGTTTTGCTGTATGTTTTGTTACTAACGTGTTCTGTTTGTGTGTTCGCTTTTTTAATTAATTCTCTCAATACATGTTCCAGTAAATCATCATTTTATACCAACATAACCAAATAGTTTTGTGTGTACAACGTTCATTTGTTTGTTATAACATAATACGCTTATTATTTGCTCAAGTAACAATTATAAATTTTTCTTCGCTGCATTTAAGTTTACTTTTAGAACCTATCCTTTTAGCATAATACAATATTACACATACGTCGGTTAGGTCCATGGAACAGACAAAAACAATCATAAAACTCTATTTAAAGTTCTATAAATCTGATATCTATCATATAAAAAAGACTAGAATCAAAATGAATATGCAAGCGTTATTTTATGATCAAAATGACATGAAAATAAATCCCTACAAGTTTCTAAACAATATTAAACATATTTAATACCTAAAATAATTGACAAACAGAACAATCATCCTACGAGCAGCGTGCGAACTGTCGGTATCTAAATACTATAACACAAAAAAAACGCATAGAACGAGGATAGGAAACGATTTTAGTTGAGAATGTAGATATACAAAGTTACTCTATTATGCAGATTTATAGAGCTAAGGATGTCATAAAATACAGTGGTAAAATTTTGGTTCTACGACAAATATTGACGAAGTTATGACCAAATTAGGTACTAACCGAATTTGATTTGATTTTGAGTTCATTTGTTGACCTAGTAATAATCCTCATTCAATCCACCGTGGAGTTAAGATTCTCAGATTTCACTAAGCCTAACAATCCGCAACTTACAGGCATTATTTTCCGTCGTTCGGTCGACCCACAAAAAATATGACAACTTAGCGCCATGTGTATTAATATGATATTGAATTTTGCTACAAATAATAAACCAAATACGTACTTACGTTTAGTAAAAATATCAATTTTCGGTATTCCAGCTAATTTTTATAGTCTAAATAATTTGAAATTACCATATTTCTTTGAATTTGTTTCTTTTAGTTACGTTTATATCAGTTAATTAAAAAGACTTTTCAACAAAGCACAAAGGTGTTTGCTATTACATATATATTGGATATTACATAATTTTTGACCATTTTGAACAGACTTTAAAAGGGCAATTCGACTTCGGTTGTTGTCTGTGTAGCTCAACGATCATATAATGATCGTTGAGCTACTACTCCGTGTATGTAATTTTGGGCCGATTTTCAAAATTCTTTCCAAGCTTTTTATAGTCATTTTACAAATGACCCCTAATCAGCGACGCAGAAACATGATTGCGTTAGGTATAATCTATTTAATGCTAATTTACAATTTGTTTAGTACTTAACCATATTATTAACTTTTAAAAACCAAAAAAACGCCAAAATTTACAAAAACAATACCTTTCAAATTAAATTTCCCATTTCTATTTGCACCTGTTCGTCATTCGCAGACAAACAACTTCATAACGGAGAGTCTTGTAAAGTCGTATTATCGATATTTGCTTGTGATAAATATTGCATACGTCACGTCCAGCTCCCGTTAGGCTCGACCCACAGATGCGAGCCTATATTGGCCACCAAGTACGCCCGATGCCTACAAATGTATCCCACCAATCGATACGCACCATCGTTGAGTCGTGACCCTGCAACACCTTTTGCGATACGAAAGTTTTAAGTGTAATACACATATTAAATTAAGTATTACGACTAACTAACTATAAGGTTGCTAGACACATGTGAGATTATTATTCTCACATATAGTAATGCCGGCACTTCACATAGTTAATCGTGTTTGCTATTTGTAAATTTGACATCAGTCTGTCCTTTTCATTCCATAAAAAAACATGATAAGGACAGTTTGTTGCCAAGTTTACCAATATCAAACACGAATAGCCAAGTTAAGTACCGACATTACTACATATGAAAATATAAGCTCACATGTGTTTAGAAACTATACTATGGTTAGTTGGATTAAATGCTTAATATTTAAAGTATGTCAATAGTATTAAAAAGCAATTATTCGAAAAAAAAATATGTAGAAAGAATGGGGTACATTTCTAAATAAGTATTAAAAATAAGACGAATTTACGAATTTTAAACTCGTAGCTTAGTAAAAAATTAAAAGATTTCAGATTTTAATAAAAAATGGTGTTAAATTTTTTAATTGAGAAAATTAGAGATATAAAAGTAAAATAATCAAAAACGGACATGAAATAGCAGAAATATTTAATAATTATTTTATAATTTTGACTGGAGATGCGTATGTATATGACAGAGACAAAAAGCGTCAGGTGCTATCCACAATTGATTCGACGCTAAACTCTATATTTCTTAAGCCGGTAACTATATCAGAGACAATTAATATAATACAGTCATTGAGAAACTCAAATTCTAGTGGGTATGATGATATATCAACAAAACAAATTTTGCAATAAAGAATTAGCTCAAATTTTGACGTTCCTTATTAATCTATCCTTTGAGACGGGACATTTCCCTGATGCTCTCAAGTACTCGATAGTAAAACCTATTTATAAAAAGAATGATAAATCTGACATTAGTAATTATCGCCCTGTTACATTGATACCGGTTATATCTAAAATATTCGAAAAATCTATGCAAAAGAGATTAACAAA